TGAAAGATGAATTCAGGAAATCAGTGTAGAAACAAAGAGAGAAGATGTTGAGGGAAAACGATCTACAGCATCCACTCAGCACACCATCAAATATGGAAGGAAAGAGACTCTCGGAAAGAAGGGAGATGAAAGGGGACAGCATAAAATTACTTGTAGACATAATGGCTGAAAGTTTATAACATTTTGATGAAAAACACTCTCCAGATTCAGAGTTCACCTCTAGAAAAATGACAGGAAACAGATCCACTCTAAGACACATCTTGGTCCAACTGTGGAAAAACAAAGGCAAAATCTTGAAAGTAGCCGGAGAAAAACTGTTCTCCAGATATGCTGCTGTTGTGCCACTTCAGTCGTGTCTGACTCTGTGTGACCCCATAGATGGCAGCCTTTCCAGGCTCTTCTGTCCTTGGGACTCTCCAGGCAAGAACACTGGAGTGGATTGCCATTTCCTTCTCCGATGCATACATGCATGCTAAGTCGCTTCAGTCGTGTCCGACTCTGTGCGACCCCATGGACAGCAGCCCACCAGGCTCCTCTGTCCACGGGATTCTCTAGGCAAGCATACTGGAGTGGGTTGCAATTTCCTTCTCCTCTCCATATATGAGGAGATCACAATAAGATTAATCCCTGACTTCCAGTCAGAAATGGCAGAGTGAAGGCCGTGGGATGCCATATTAAAAGATTTGAAAGAAAAAAATTGTCACCCAAGGATTCCGTGTCTATAAAATCTATGCTTCAGGGAAGAAGGCAAAGTAACAATGTTCCCAGATAAACAGAGACTGGGAGAATTGACTGCTAGCAGTCCGACTTATAACAAATACTGAAAGATAACGTTTGAACTGGAAAAAAAAAAAAAATTGGTTCTTAGATTTGAAAACACTGGGCTGATTTGTTAAAAGGATGTGTGTGTATCTGTACAGAGTGTTCCAAAACTTTTTGTTCAGTGTATTGAGTTCAGAAAACTCAATGAAAATTATGAAAATTATGAAAAACTGGCAAATTATGAAAAACTTACTCTGAAGGTTTATTTTGATTTGTTTTATATTTTATAGCCTTGTAACTTTTAAATAATTTTAACTAATTTTTAATTCCCAGTAGTTGAACATAGTAAAAATTAACTGAAATAGATATATATAATAAAAGTAAAAATACTTGGGATTATCCAAAGTTATAGGGAGAACCCCAGAATTTTTAAAGTATTGATGGGACTCAAGCAATGATATCAAAGGAACCAGGAATTCTCTGAGTTCTAGGTGGAAAGAAGCAACACTTGACTAATGTCTCTACCAGGATGAGAAGGTAGGATGGGAAGGCTCAGAGGAAGGGAGATGAATGAAGCTGTGTGGCTGGATGGTTAGGGAGGGGCTATAGTCCAGCCTCCTCCTCTGCTAATCCCTCTTACCCCCAAGGGCCCTTTGTGACCATACCACATCTCTATGATGCGAGCCTAGTACTTTAGTCCCCAAGTGCACCCCTTGGCTCAGTTGCCTGAGGGCAGCAGTGTGATTCAGATGATGGAGAATCTGCTCTTTTCTCTGAAAAGCACTTTTGATACTTGGCTGAACTCCAGCTCCCCTTTCTGGGCAATCGATACCATCCTTGCCTTTCTATGTGGACTGGGGCTCTTTTTCCTTATCCTTCCCTACCTGGAGAATAACCCATCCTTTGCTCCCCCTAGGAAACATGGAAACATCAGGAAGGTAAGGAACTCTTGGTCCAGACTGACAAGCATATAAAATCTTTATTATTATTATTTCTACATTTCTGAATCAACCAGAGATTCTTGAGGTGGGAAAGAACAGGACATCTATTTTCAAGGAAGAAAAGAATATCATGCCTCTAGGGACAAATCAGGCTGGGCAGGAGATAGAGTGAACACTAGGATTTCTACCCAAAGATCTCAGATCAGTTGTCCTGGTGTGGTAGGGGTCCAGGGCATGTCCCAAACACAGTGACCAGGGGCTGAGGACTGGATGCTGAGTTCAGTCTCAGGCCGAGGACAGGACTCTGAGCCCTAGTTCAGCAGCTGTGAACAGTGTCTCAGGGCTGATGGTCTGGCAGCGCTGAAGCCCCAAGAACCTCAGAGCAGGGGCTGGGGGGCGGGGGGCTGGCATCAGGAAGCAGAGATCAACCTGATGAAGCTCAGATTCACCCACAGTCTGAGAATGTATGTGTTTCTTGAGCAGAGGAACAGTGACGAAAGTAATACAGAGTGCATTTCACATTGAAAATAGTCTCGTTCTTCAAAGAAGGAAAACAAAATATTTTATCCACTTTAAAAACGAGTGAAAGGAAAGAAAAATCACAGAGCTCTGTCATTGAATTGTAGAAAGTCATATTATGTATGGACACTAGTGCCTGATGCTTGTCTAGAGAGAGAGGAGACTGAGAATTGGGTCTTAAGCCCTAATTTTTTCTCTCTCAGCATCGAAAGGAACGAAGGGGAAGAAGCAGGAGCAGCAAGAGAAACGGCGCTTTGAAAGGTGAGTTCGGACACCCAGCCATGAGCGCCCCGAGTGCTAGTCCCCACCACTCTGGCCATGAGGCCCGGCTCCACGGGCTCTGAGGGGGCCAGAGGCAGGACTTCTCCCTTGAGGAGCAGGGCCCCCAGAGAGGCTTCTGGGAAGGAGGGCAGAATCCAGACACTTCCCAGATTCCATGTGTAGAATGTAGCTGTGAGGGGCCTGGAAAAGACTCTGTACCAAAAGGGCGTGTGGGCTGCATTGGACTAATAGCACCTGGATTGGGAAGCGAGCCCTCCAGGAAACATAGGACACATGGTTTAACTGTGCTCAGGTTCAACTGCAAAGTGATGCCTGCCCATTGCCTACAGGTAGGTGGTGAGGGCAGTAAGGAGTAAAGGATATGGAAAAACGTTAAGTGATAAACCCTTTCTTGAGCGTCACCATCACTGTCAGGGATCATGTGGTGTTGGACACTGGAGCTTGGGCTCCAATCTCCCAATGGTGTCCCCTTAAAGAGACAGTGCACTCAACTATTAGACCCCTGGCTCCTGTCTTCACCACCATGACCCAGTCTGCTGATTTCCAGCTTGCAGAGATTGCCTGGAAACACTGGAGGAGGTCTGGGACCTGACTTCACTTCTGCAAAGGTAGAGAATCTACCCTTTCTTCCTAGGGGGTTCTTCTAGAGTCTATGGTGTGAACCCAGGGATTCTGGCAGCCTGGGGCTGAGCTGGGTGGAGGAGTCCCGGGGGCGGGGTATGGCTATCATCCCGTAGTGAGGAACAGCAGGAGCATTGTGAAGTCAGCACTGGGGCTGTGCAGGGCTGTGGGGTGCGGCTGCCCCCCCCCGCCCGCCTGTCTGGTCCTCCTGGCCTGGCAGCTCCTGGCTGCAGCTTGTTCTTCGTGTCCCCTGCAGACACCTGGGGAGGTTCCCTGACAAGGGCAACTTTCATCAGATCTCATGTCAAGATTCACCTGGTGAGGTTTGCAAAGCAGTGCCTGCTGGAGCCCACCCACCATGCAGGGAAGAGGCGGCTCCCACCATTTCCCCAGCTCCTCTGACCAAGCAGCCTCTACCCCAGGCTTCTGCCATTTCTCCAGGTTCAGTTTCCACTTACTCAGAGTCATACCTGAGTGCCTCTCCAACACCAGAGCCTTTCTTTCCCCTGGACAGCCTTTCCCCTTCCCCACCAAGCCCGCCTCATGGGAGAGCCTGCCCTCCACCTGCAGCACCCTGCTCTGCCCCAACACCATCAGGCTCCATGCTGAGTCTCACTCAGGGTGACTCCACGACACGCAAACTGGATACCATCCCACACAGGTCATCTCCGCACTCCCCCTGGAGACCAGCCATCCCAGGGCTTGTCCATTCAAGCAGCCCTGGATCGGCCCTGGCCTGGTGGCAGGAAGCAGCCACAGCCTGGAGCTTCTCCACCTCAACACACTTAGAGTCCCAGAAAGAAAGCCTTCCCCTCTACCCACCAGAGGCCTCATTCTGGGAAGATCCCAGAAAAAGGCAGGTAGAGGCTGGTGGCCTCGCTTTTATCAACCCTAATGTCCAGGAGCTGCTGGAAATACTAATCAGCAAGAGAGTGGAATCCATGACCCAGTCTGCTGATTTCCAGCTTGCAGAGATTGCCTGGAAACACTGGAGGAGGTCTGGGACCTGACTTCACTTCTGCAAAGGTAGAGAATCTACCCTTTCTTCCTAGGGGGTTCTTCTAGAGTCTATGGTGTGAACCCAGGGATTCTGGCAGCCTGGGGCTGAGCTGGGTGGAGGAGTCCCGGGGGCGGGGTATGGCTATCATCCCGTAGTGAGGAACAGCAGGAGCATTGTGAAGTCAGCACTGGGGCTGTGCAGGGCTGTGGGGTGCGGCTGCCCCCCCCCGCCCGCCTGTCTGGTCCTCCTGGCCTGGCAGCTCCTGGCTGCAGCTTGTTCTTCGTGTCCCCTGCAGACACCTGGGGAGGTTCCCTGACAAGGGCAACTTTCATCAGATCTCATGTCAAGATTCACCTGGTGAGGTTTGCAAAGCAGTGCCTGCTGGAGCCCACCCACCATGCAGGGAAGAGGCGGCTCCCACCATTTCCCCAGCTCCTCTGACCAAGCAGCCTCTACCCCAGGCTTCTGCCATTTCTCCAGGTTCAGTTTCCACTTACTCAGAGTCATACCTGAGTGCCTCTCCAACACCAGAGCCTTTCTTTCCCCTGGACAGCCTTTCCCCTTCCCCACCAAGCCCGCCTCATGGGAGAGCCTGCCCTCCACCTGCAGCACCCTGCTCTGCCCCAACACCATCAGGCTCCATGCTGAGTCTCACTCAGGGTGACTCCACGACACGCAAACTGGATACCATCCCACACAGGTCATCTCCGCACTCCCCCTGGAGACCAGCCATCCCAGGGCTTGTCCATTCAAGCAGCCCTGGATCGGCCCTGGCCTGGTGGCAGGAAGCAGCCACAGCCTGGAGCTTCTCCACCTCAACACACTTAGAGTCCCAGAAAGAAAGCCTTCCCCTCTACCCACCAGAGGCCTCATTCTGGGAAGATCCCAGAAAAAGGCAGGTAGAGGCTGGTGGCCTCGCTTTTATCAACCCTAATGTCCAGGAGCTGCTGGAAATACTAATCAGCAAGAGAGTGGAAATGAAGTTTTGGAAGGAGAAAGAAAAGGACGAGGAGGCAGGCTACCACCCGAATTCTTTGGGAAAGAGGATTGAGTCGCTGGGTCACAAACAGGACACCTTGGGTGGCAAACATGATCAGCTGCTTGGTCCCAAGAAGCCCCCATATCCTGACACTTTGGGGGACCGTCTACGGAAGACATGCAGCCAGCTCTTCTGGGGTCTCCCCTTTCTGCACAGTGAGTCTCTCGTAGCTGCTGTCACAGTACCTGGGTCAACTCTAGAGTTATGCCCTGTCTTATTTAACGAACGCTCTGAAGCCAAACCATTCCATATTCCAGCTAAAGTAACTTCGCAACTGTCATTGGCCAAGCACTTGACCCAACCTGTGGCCCAGGCTCAACCTCAATACTTGACTCCTACCATGCCCCAGTTGCAGCCATCACCTCTGGGTCACATGGAGACCCAGGCCCAACCCCTACCCTTAACTCCAATCCTGCCCCAATGTCAACCATCATCTGAAGTTTCACTGGAGACCCAGTCCAGCTCCCAAATCGTGGCTTCAACCATGCCTCACTCTCTACCACCAACTCGGGCTCACATGGAGGCCCAGGCCCGACCCCAACTCTTGGTTCCAACCATGCCTCACTTTCAGCCACCACCGCAGACTCACATGGAGACCCAGGCCCGCCCCCCACCATGGACTGCACTCACGCCCCAATCTCAACCATCACCTCGAGCTCACATGGAGACCCAGGTCCGATCCCAACTCTTGGCTCAAACCATGTCTCATTTTCAACTACCACTTCGGGCTCACATGAAGACCCAGGTTCCACCCCTACTCCAGACTCCATCCATGTCCCAGTGTCAACCACCACAACCTCAAACTCACATGGAGATTCAGGACCAATCCCTACCTTGGACTCCAAACATGCCCCAGTTTCAACCACTTGTTCAGGCTCATGTGGAGACCCAAGGCCGATCCTTACCTTTGACTGCAACCATGCCTCAATGTCCACCATCATCTGAGATTTCCATGGAGGTCCAGGACCACCAACAACTCTCAACTCCAACCATGCCCCAGTTCCAACCACCTCCTCGGGCTCACGTGGAGATCCAGGCCCAACCGATACCCTTGGCTCTAAATATACCTTACTGTCAGCCATCTTCTCGGGTTCATATGGAGATCCAGGCCCAACCTCAATCCTTAACTCCAACCATACCCCAATGTCATCCACAATCTCAGGCTCAGTTAGAAACCACTATCCATCTATCACCCTCCCCCCTAGTCCAGTCATCATCTTCTCAACGCCAGATTGGCATTGAGAAGTCCTTTGAAACATCTTGCCCTACAGTCCCAAATAAGGCATCATCTTTCAGTTCAAATGCAGTTGAAAACCTGGAATGTCACTTTTGGAAAAAACAAATAGAAAGCAGGAGAACTTTACCCTCTTTGGTTAAAAATTCTCGGCAAGTCTTTAGCCAGGTCACTCTCAACCCATCCCAGGAGACCAGGTCTTCCCAGGCCCACAGCTCTGTCCCCATCCTTCCTGGGTATTTGATCAGCCCTGAGGTTCCGAAGAAACTGGAGCACCACATTTCCCAAAGGTTCATGCAGCAACAAAGTGGCCTGCCCTGCAGAATCCAAGCATCTCAGAAACTGATGCAGCCCCAGGATCAATACCCAAGGCCATGTCAGGCACAGGGCAGGGAGGGGCCCTCAAGATCCTCTGCAGGTCGAGGCAAAAGGAGCCAGGATACACAAAAGATGAGGTCCAAGTGCCCAGCACAAATCTTACCAGGGACAGACCTGTGCCATGATGTAGGGCAGAGTGTGGGGAAGATCGTAAAAGATCTGTACATGTTCCCAGCCAACCCTCCAGTGAAGGATCCAAGAGCAAAACCTGCATCAGAAATAGAGTTGAGCCTAGACAGGAAGCAACCAGAAGTCTCAGGAGTCCTTACAGAGAGGAAGGCAGAGCAGATCTGTAAGAGTGAGATCCCTGTGAATGTCTATCACTTGAGGCTTGTGGACAACCTTGTTTTAGGCACTCTGGGAGAGACAAATGCTCCCATGAAGACAGAAAGTACAAAGTCCTCTCAGGATGGGAAAGCCTCCATGGTCACATCCCATGAGTCTCTTGTCCTCAGCCCGTATACTGAGCAGGAGCTGGCAACACATATAATAAGTTTTCGAGTGAGGCACAGGTGGAGCCTACTCTTCAAAGTCCTTAAGTTGATATTTCGCTTGAAGTTGAAAAAGGTTCAAGTGCCCACATTGAAGGTCACCTGTGAATCTGGATACCACTCAACTGCCCTATTAACCAAGGGCTTGGGAAAACCTCCTCAGCCCCATGCAGGAGAGAATCTGGTAACAATGGAGGCAGTTCCCCCACTGGAGAGGCCCCTCCCTGTCCCCTCACAGGTGACTGAGGAAGCCCGGGGGGCTCTGGGAGGACGCGCACCTGGGGACACCCATAAGCCCCCAGAGGCCCGTCTGACTGGCCAGGAAGAGAAGCCACCTCCTCAGGCCCCCACATACAGCTTTGTGGGCAGAATGTGGCATAGCAAGTCTGTTGTGGAGGCTGAGAAAGGCAGCCTGGAGCCAAGTCCAAGTTCAGCCATGGCCAGGAATGAGCCACAGAAGGAAACTAGGGGACAGGCCTCCCCAGCATCTTGCTCTGATGTGATAGTTGTGGAGCTTGATGAATGCTCTCCATCTTCAAAGGCTCAAGAGGTCGTGGAGGGAGACTCTGCTGGGGAGGGCACCAGGGAACCTAGCGTGCAGGTCAAATACCTAGACATCAATATAGATCTCTGGAGATCACAGTCTCCAAGGTCCAGTGAAAGCCCCTCACTGAACACCGAATCTGCTGCCTCAGATACAGAAGATCTACTCTTTGAGACACAGTCTCGTAAGCTTGAGTCTCAAGGGTTCACTGACCAGCAGGCTCAGGCTCAAGGCCGAGCTACCAGCGTGCTCCTTCAAGACTGTGAAACTGGAGTAATCCTTCAAGACTGTGCCACCGATGTGCTTCTCAAAGACTGTCACTCGAATATGTTTCTTGCCGCAGACATCTTGGCTTCTCAGGAACCTCTGTCCAATTTTCAGATCTTATCCAGTGGAGACAAGTGCAATTCCCAAAAACTCTATGATGCTACCTCAAGTGAAGGGAGCAGCCAGGGGCAGCAGGTGGACATGAGGCGACAGCCATGTAAGAGCCATTGCAAGGAGTCTGTTCCCAAGGATGGGAGAGAGAAATATACAAGGCCCAAATTAAGACAGATTAAAAGGGGGCTGGCAGAGCGGAGGGCTTACCGAGCCCAAGGGATGAGTCATCCTGGCCAGAAAAAAGAATCCCTAAGAAGCAAGTTTCGGCAGTTAGTCCTAAAGAAGAGACAGGTTCCATCAGAAAGCCACTTCAAAGAAAAGATCAAGCTCCTTCTGCAGTGGATTTTCCCCAGTAAAGGCAGAGAACCAGAACAGCCCCTGCAAAAAGGCAGGCCTGAAACAGCCACCGTCCAGAGCCAAGAATCAATCAAGAGCAAGTCGACCATGGACAGCAGGGCTGTTGAGGCTCAGACTCTCATGACAGCTGTTGGGCAGATCCTAAAGGAGAGGATGGTGTTTCACCAGGGCCCTCATGCCACGGAGTTAAACTGGTACCAGGCAGAATTCCAGGACCCCAGAGGTCCACATTACTGCCACCACAGAATCCGGTCTTACCAAGAGGAAAGGAGAATGAGGAGAGATACACCCCGTTATCACCAAGCCACCCCGACGGGCCATAGCTTTTCAAAAAAGAGTAAGTGGACCAGTCCCAGGGACAGCAAGTGGGCCTTCTCACCCAGGGAGCCAGGTCCCCCTCCAGGCAGAGCCTGCCAGCATGGCTCACGAGTGGCATGGGTCCCAGGCCATTCCCTCCACTGTCCAAGGCATGGTCTCCCTCAGAAATATACCTCTTCTGGTGAATCCGAACATGCTTTTCACAGCATTCTGGGTGGGAAAACTCTCCTCCAAGAAAAAAATGCATGCCATGCAGATAAATACATTTTTCTCCAACGTTAGCACATCCTCTGTGTGCTAAAGGCTTCTTCCTACCAGAAATTTTGTTTCATGAAATAAATGTTTTTTTCTCATGAGCAGGGGTAGTGACCTGTCGGTGCCTCACTGAGGGAGATGGAAGGCATCGGGGTCCACGCTTCCCAGGTGCCTGCTTTGACTTCCAGACGGGATGGGGCCATGGAGGGAGGGTGACCCCAGCATGGATACTCACCCTCACCCCAGTTCTGTAACTGCACCTTCAGTTTCCATAATACCAGCATTACAGAAACAAGCAACAGCGTTTAGGACATGTCACAGTGAACTAAACCTAAAGACCTCCCCCTTCTCAGCATCTTGCTCAGTTCTATCCTACTCTTTCTCCACCTGGACGTTGTGCACCTGGTAGGGGAGGTGTGTTCAGAGGCTGAAATTCCCCTCAGGCTCAAGAAGTGTCAGGGACAAACTCACATGTCAGAATAAGGAGGGGAGTCCAGAGGTGGGATAAGCCTCACCCCCGAGTCACAGCGGGGTAGATGCTGCTGCCCTGAAATCCCTTCTCTCCTAGATGTGGCTGGGGCAAGATAGGCGAGGTTCGTCACCCTCCCTCTGCCTTTCTCCTGCTCTGAAGCAGCAGCAAGAATGAGGACCACACACTCTGAGAGGACCCAGCTCTGAGAGTGTGCAGTGCAGAGCACGCAAGCCTCTGAGGGCTGGTCCCACCCAGCCCTGGAGGAGAGGACAGCCGTGCTTACAGTGCCCACCTCCCCCAGTGAATAAGCATGGTCATGACTGTGTGTGGAGGCACCTCACGGTCTGAGAGCTGGATGCTGTGCCCCTGGGATGGGATGCAGAGGAAGGATGTTAGTGGCAGGGGAGCCCATAGATGGTGCATTTACCAAGGAGCATTGGTGTCCCACCACCATCCACAGGGCCAGAGGAAAGAAGTGAGGGGCCTGGTGGCTCATGCTGGCATCACTCCAGAGTCTCCCCTCTACTCTAGTTCCCCGGACCTGTCTGAAGGAGGCCACCTGGAGGTCCTCAACAGAGGGCCAAGCTCCCAGAGGCAACAGAAGCTCAAGCAGAGAAGCTTCACTTTTCCCCACTGTAGCAATCAGCTTTCACAGGACTGGGTACTCAGGACAGACTCACAGTCCGTGACCTCTACCTACATGTGTGGCCCAAGGAGGCTCCCAGAGTACAGGTAGGACTCAACAGGCCCAGGGACTGTTCAGGAGTCATAGCAGGTCTCACCTGCGCTCAGTCTTACTCCCTCCAGAGGCCGGGGTGGGAGACCCCAGTAGCTAGGATGCGTCACCCAGCGTGCATGGAAGGGACTGCAGAAAATGAACACACCATCAGCTTTCCTCCTTGGGCTCATCCACGGGGGAAAGTGGGGAGACAAGAGCATTTCTCCAGAGAGATTCAGAGCTCTATGTCACAGATAGTCCCATGGTGCACAGTCCGCCTCCAGAAGGGGGCCTCTGATCCAGGAGCTGGCAGGAATGGCCCCGCCTCCATGCCTGTCAGGGCCCCCACATGTGGGACCAGGCCCGGGGCTGTGGGGGCAGTGGGCACAGGCCTACCTGTGCTGTGGTTCCTCCCTGGAGACTAGTCCTGACTCTGCACTGCGTCCCCCATGGTGGGCACAGCGGTGGGGGCTCAGCCAGGGTCTGAGGGGAGGCGTTGGGTCCTAGGTCATCGAGTGACCTCGAGAGTTCAGGAGAGGGGAGCACAGAGCTTGGATCCTGAGCCTGGCTGCTGCCAGGTCCTCTCAGAGGCACCAAGAAGTGAGCGCTGAGTTGGGGGATCTGGAACTAAGGTGCCCGTCTGGAGAAATGACACAGAAGGGACACTGACAGAACAGCAAGAAACCTGACCTGGAGAGTCCCTTCCTTCTCCTGCCGTGAGGTGCAGAGAGGACAGTGATGGAGGGGCCCGTGAAGAGTGGGTGAGACCCACACTCACCCCAGAGAGGGATCCCCCATATACCCACAGTGATCCAGCACAGGGCCCCCAATAACCCCACAGAGACCTCGACAGACCCACACTCACCCCAGAGAGGGACCCCCATACACCCACACTGATCCAGCACAGGGCCCCCATGAAGAGTGGGTCAGACCCACACTCACCCCAGAGAGGGACCCCCATACACCCACACTGATCCAGCACAGGGCCTCCAATAACCCCACAGAGACCTCGACAGAACCACACTCACCCCAGACAGGGATCCCCCATATACCCACAGTGATCCAGCACAGGGCCCCCAATAACCCCACAGAGACCTCGACAGACCTACACTCACCCCAGAGAGGGACCCCCCATATACACACACTGATCCAGCACAGGGCCCTCATGAAGAGTGGGTCAGACCCACACTCACCCCAGAGAGAGACCCCCCATATACTCACAGTGGCACTGCTGCTGCGCAGGGCCCCCAATAACCCCACAGAGACCTCGACAGACCCACACTCACCCCAGACAGGGATCCCCCATATACCCACAGTGATCCAGCACAGGGCCCCCAATAACCCCACAGAGACCTCGACAGAACCACACTCACCCCAGACTGGGACCCTTGATAAACCTACAGTGTCCCCGAGCAGAAACCTCCCACACACCCACACTGACCTTGCACAGGGCCCTTCCCAGAGACCCACACTCACCCCAGACAGGGACCTCCCCCTGACCCACACTAACTCTGCACCGGTATCTCCCACAGACTCACAACGACCCTGCCCAGGAACCCTCAAACCTCACACAGAGACCTCTGTCAGACCCACAGTGACCCAGAGACTCCACTAACCTCACTCGGGAATCTCCCACAAATCCACCCTGATTCCACACAGGGGTCAAACACAGATTCACACTGGTCCTGCTCAGGGATCTCTCGATCACCCACACTGACCCCACACAGAGACCTCTGATAGATGCACATTTACCCCACTAGGAACCTTTCACAGGCCCACACTGACCCCACACAGGACCTTCTCACATACCCACATGGAGTATTCTCACCCAGAGTCCTCTCAGATCATTGTACAGAGACCTCTCTTGTGACCCCCCACACAGACCTCACAGATATTCTTTAGGATCTGAGCATACACCCTTTGATAGTTCCTTCATGGCAAGCCCGATATCACTTAACAAACCATGTATATTGCTGTTTGGAATATAAATTAGTACAACAAATATTTAAAATAGTATGGAGGTTCTTAAAAAAAAATTAGAATACCATGTGATCCAACAATTTCACTTCTGGCCATATAGCAAAAAGAAACAAAGTTTGTAACCCTAAAGAGTTACAGTATTTTTCTATGTTCTTTGAAAATTTATTCACAGTAATGACTTGGAAAGAAACTTTCTGTTTGTCGTGGTGAATGCATAAAGAATACATGATAATATGTGATACACACAGACACACACACACACATATACATAACATACACAATGGGATATTATTCAGCCTGAAAAAGTAAATCCTGACATTTGCAAGAACATCAATGAACCTGGAGATCATTATTATAAATAATATAAACCTGATAGCAAAAAATAGCAAAAAGACACACTGCATGGTATCATTTATGTGTGGAATCTAAAAAAAGAAAAGAAAATTGAAATTATGGGACACAGAGTAGAAATTTTCTGTAGGTGGTCCTGGGGGGATTCGAAACAGGCCTACAAATAAATACAAATTTTCTGTTATAAAATGAGAAATAAAATGAAGAAATAAGGTCTGAGGAGCTAACGTATAACATGATAATGATAATTTATAATACTGTATTCTGCCACATCACGAATCGCAACCTTTTGTGATGATGAGCTTGTGTAACTCAATGAAGCTCTGAGCCGTGTTGTTAAGGACCAGCCAAGACAGACGTGTCATGGTGGAGAGCTGTGACAAAATGTGGTCCACTGGAGGACAGGATGGAAAATCACTCTGGATTCTTGCTGTGAGAATCTCATGAGCAGTATGAGAAGACAAAAAAATATGACACCAGAAGATGAGCCCCCCAGGTCAGAGGGTGTCCTTATTGCTACTGAGGAAGAGCAGAGGGCAATTACAAATAGCTCCAGAATGAGTGAAGCAACTGTGCCAAAACAGAAACGGTGCTCAGTTGTGAAGTATCTGGTGGGGAAAGTAAAGTCTGATGCTGTAAAGAACAATATTGCATAGGAACTTGGAATGTTAGGTCCATGAATCAAAGTAAATTGGATGAGATCAAGCAGGAAATGGCAAGAGTGAACCTCAACATCTTAGGAACCACTGAACTAAAATAGGAATGTGAGAATTTAACTCAGATGACCACTATATCTTCTACTGTGGACAAGAATCCCTTAGAAGACACAGAGTACCCCTCATAGTCAACAAAAGAGTCCAAAAGAGCAGTACTTGGGTGCAGTCTCAAAAATGACAGAATGGTCTCACTTCGTTTCTAGGACAAACCATTGATCCAAGTAATCCAAGTAAACCAGTAATCCAAGTCTATACCCCAGCCAGTGATGCTGAAGAAGCTGAAATTGAATGGTTCTATGAAGACATACACGACCTTCTAGAACTAACACCAAGTAACAGGCAAGTTTGGCCTTAGAGTACAAAATGAGGCAGGGCAAAGGCTAACAAGAGTTTTGCCAAGAGACTACACCGGTCATAGCAAACAACCTTTGCCAACAACACAAGAGATGTCTATGCATGGACATCATGAAATGTCAATACTCAAATCAGATTGATTGTATTTGTTGCTATTGTTCAGTCATTCAATTGTGTCCAACTCTTTGCCACCCCTTGGACTGCAGAATGCCAGGCTTCCCTGTTCTTCACTATGTCCAGAGTTTGCTCAGATTCATGTCTATTGAGTAGTTGATGCATTCTAATCTAATCTGGACCTTTGTTGGCAAAGTAATGTCTCTGCTTTTTAATATGCTATCTAGGTTGGTCGTAACTTTCCTTCTAAGGAGTAAGCATCTTTTAATTTCATGGCTGCAGTCACCATCCAGAGTGATTTTGGAGCCCAAAAAAACAAAGTCTGACACTGTTTCTACTGTCTCCCCATCTATTTCCCATGAGGTGATGGGACCAGATGCCATGATCTTAGTTT